GTCTGCTCCGATAAGTCTATACAAGTATCGATTTTAAGGAGAGAATGACGTAATGGGCTGCGCTAAGCGATTACATGAAGGTGCATCTATGTACCTACTGTGCGACTCGTGGGAATAAAAACCAAATGAATATCCCATATGCATCAGGTACGTCTTCTAAAAAACAGAAACTTCTGTGTGATGCGGAATGCTGTTTCCCTAAGTGTGGATTTGTCGCTGAAGTTCTGACGTGAAAACTCGCTCCATCAAGCTATGTCGGGATGTTGTCTTCTTGTAACGAGGTTACGCAGATCCTGGTATGAAGGGTGTGGGTCACACAGCATGGTGTGACCATACAATTTTGTGGCTACACTTAAACAACAAGTCCATACGGGGCAGGCGCAGCCAGTAGTTATACATTTAATCAGATATTTCGATATAGATTGGAGAACCTATAGATTTAGATATAGGCGGCTTTGTCGCTTATGAACCGAAAAATACAGCTCACTCTTTAAACGAAAAAGTTAGCCTTGGGTTAAGGTTGAAGTTACTCTTGAAGTAAGTGGAATGCGATCCGCTACACACGTACCGGTTCAAAGTATAGAAGGATGGTCACCGACCTTAGCCAAGCTTCCACTAAGCAAAATTGCTACGGCAGCCCCGATGTACTTGGTAGCACTTGTAGTCGATCTACACCTGAGTCGCTACGGCTGACCCTCTGTGAGGATGGAGCAAATCTCTTTCTTGCCCTAGGGCATACAGGACGGGCTTATAATGTTGCCTTCCTTTCATTATGAAGCGTCGAGCACCCCCCCCCGCCCGACGCCCCGGAGTCGATTAGGATCTTCCATAGTATCTCATAGCCCTTCATAGTCACTGTGACGATGAGCAAGCCCGGCTGCATGCACGTTCCGTTTTCAAAAGCACGTATCTCTTTGAGCTAGGTCCTGCTGATTTCAACCTCATCAACGCTCAACAGAACTTAGTTCTTACCCAGTAGGGTACCCCACGCCTACTGAGTGCTGTCGTTTCTCCTCGACAAACTAGAAGATTTGAAAGAAAAGGGACGCCGGTTCGATAAACCTTGTCCCGCCTTGCGCAGATATCAACGAATCCAAAGGCGACGGTGTTTTCACAGACAAAACACCGTCGGGTTTTCTAACGCTACTCGAAAGCTCTCAGATCTGCCTCCTTGTCTTCACCACAGCTGAGTTCCATCGACTCAGGCCCGCTCGACGAGCTGCTAGAGTGTGCATTGCAACCAAATCGAGCCGACTTGAAGTTGAATTAGGCATTCAATACCACATTCACTGCTTATTCAGAAGAAGACGGGTCACCACGGACGTTTTCCATTCTGGTAACGCTAGTGCGAAAGCCCTCCATATAGACGGTCACTGTGACCGCCTCGGGAAGATGATCGGCTGCCATACCGGCAATGAGAGTATGCAACTATTGGACAAGTCCAGGCGACAAGATATTGCGATTGCACGTAATATTTCTGGAAAGGCCGCGAAACTTTCGCAAACGCTGACGCTTCAGCTTTGTCCAGGAGGGAAACGCCGCTTCAACCGAAGTGCCGCACGTTAGTGCCCCTTCTCGCGCTCCTCCCTCGAGTTTGGACATAGTTAGCGCTGCGCGCTGTTGCTCGGTCTGGAGCATGGCAAATGCCATGGCCAACTCGACCTCTCTCGCCCAGAGCGAGCGATTCTCTTCATCCTTGCACTCGTAGGTCTTAGCACTTACTATTAGCAGCTTAGGTCGGGAAGTCATCCGTCGTCGACAATGGCTTCATAGACGCTGTCGACGCCGACTTCTTCTGCTGTAGGCGCTCTAGCAGAACGTTTTTCTAGCTTGATAACGCTCTATCAGAGGCACTGAAAGCGGCTGAGTGAAAACGTCACTTAGCGACAAGGACATGTGTCACGGTGCCGAAGGTGACTGAAGACCACGGTGTCGGGGTTTTTGACTTTGATAGCGTGGAACGCTGCTTATCCTTAGATTTGGATGCAAGGTATGACATCATCCATTGTATGCATGGCTGGAACATTATGATCCATGGATCGACCGGAGGTCGAAGACCTTAGGCGCTCGTGCACGTATCCCGGCCGAACTTTGGTGAGCCACGAACCCACCTCTGCTAGAAGGCAAAACGCTGTTGGTGTGGGCACTGGACCGAAACGATAAACGTGCTGGAGATAGGAATATCCGAGCTGGTGAACGCCGAAGGTGTATCGGACAGGTATCCCGAGCATGGCTCGCGGGCTGAAGGTGAACTGCACGTAATCCACTGAGCACTGCTCATCTTTCGAAGCAGTCGTTGCATGTCACAGTGGTATGGTCGGATGCATCTTGGCAAGTTTTTTCAGTTGCGCGTGAAGGGGCACGTTATCCACTGGACGAAGACTGCAGAGCTAGTAGCTCACCGTCGGATGTTGCTAAGAGCATCAGGGCTCAAAGATTGAAATATCCATTATTAAAAGATTTGGATAATTTATTTTTTTATTATTTAAAAAAATTATAATTTATATCTAAAATATCTTAAATTTTTTAAAGTGGAGCAGGAAGTGGGGCTTATATTGAACGACAGTGAGTGCGTGTTCACACTGGTCTCGCTGCGACGTACAGCTTCTCGGAAGAGGCAACAGCGACACCGTATGCTAGCTGCAACACGCCGGGCGTCGCAGGATGTGTAAACCGTAGGCGATAGCGCACAGCTATATACCCTCGTTAACGGAGAGGAAGACAGTGACGTCACCATCGAGGCCATTCTTGCGGTTGATGCTCTTCTTGAGCTGGACAAGTCGTCCCTCAAATAGTTCGGCGGTGCCTTGAAGGCAGGCGACTTAGCCGAGGTGCGGCTGGAGGAGGAGATCGACTCGTGGTCGCTTCCAGATGAAGCTGTGCTGGAGGATACGAAGGGGTTCTGGATGCACGAAGTGGATCGTCGATCCTGAATTTTTTTCAAATCCGTATCATTCTCTGGTGAAGAAACTTTCAAGACGTCGTATCCAGAGACCCGCCGTCGGCCCTACCTCCGGACCGAAATGTGCTTCATGGTATTGACCTATTTTCCGGAAACAAATACTGCATAACACGCCAATGGCCCCTGCCCAAGGAGAAGTGTGACGTCATTGACTTCTTTCTCCGTGTGAAGCACGAGGCGGGAATGGTGCGTGAGAGCATGTATCCTCTTTGTATCCGGAAACCGAACGGCAAGTGGCGTATCGCTCGCGCTTACATTAAGCAAAATGCGCCCACCATTCCGACACAGCCGCCGAATCCTAGAAAGGATGTTTACCAGAAAGAATGTTTACCAGAACGATATGATTGGCTCTACAAATTACACTGCACTCGATTTGGTCGATGGGTATTACCAATTGACCATGAGAGCGAGTGATAATCTGCTGACAGCGGTGAGTTCTCTGAGCGGCATGCTTTAAGAGTGGCTGGACATGCCAGCTAAATGCACCAGCAACATTTCATCGTCTTGTGACGCAGTTGTTCACGCCCCACCGGGTGTATGCTAAGACATACTTCGGCGACATCTTCGTCCACGGTCATGCGGGGCACGAGACAACAGATAAGGAAAACCACATCGTCCATTTGAGAGCGGTGCTCAAGTGCATGCGCACGAATAAGTTGTATGCTAATGCAGATAACTGCATATTCGAAGCAAAAAAAACATCTTTTTAGTGTGTTTCATTGGAATGTATGACCTTTGATTGAATCCTGCTAAGGTCAAGGCCATTGTGGACTGCTCGGGTCCAAAGAACGAAAAGGAAGGCTTGGCTCACCAACTACTTGCACAATTATTATGCGGAAATGGCACCGCAATTGTCAAACTTCCTTAAGAAGAATGCGGATTGGAATTGGGACATCAAGCACCAGGAGGCTTGCGACGCAATCAAAGACAACCTCCTTCATACACCAATACTGGCGTTTTGAGACTGATCGTCGTCTGTGACGCTCAGACTATGCCGTCAAGTGTGCACTTCTGCAAGCAGACGCCGCGGGGCGAGATCGAGTGATCGCGTTAGAATCTCGCCAGCTCAAGGCTGCAGAGAAGAACTACCCAGTTCACGACAAGGTATTACTTGCAATGATGTATGCACTTGTCAAGTTCAGGGTGCACCTGCTTGGCTTAAAGCTGTTTGTGGTCTACACAGATCATGCGCCAATACGCACTGCGACTCAGTCGCCTCACCTCTCGCAGAGAATAGCCAGGTGGCTCTCATTCTTCGTAAAATAAAACTTTGATGTGATGTATAAGCCAGATATGCAGAAAGCTTTGGCTGATGCGTTGTCACGCAACCATATTTTGTGCTTGTTCATGTAACGACGGTGACGTCATCCGTGACGAATTTATATCGCGCCGCGTACGCAGGTGATGATATGTGCGTAGCGCTGCTACAGGCTGGAGTTTGAAAACTTGGACAAGAAGTTGCACGGTTGCACCGATATTTATTGAGTAATGGATTGCTATATTACAGCACCGACTGGACTGATATGCCACGAACGCTGGATCCTCTCGAAGAGGATTCGAAATACCGTATCCTCTATGAAGATCGCGACATCTCACTCAGTGGTAATCTTGGTCACGAAACCACCTATAGCTCTGTGAATAGCCACTTCCGGTGGTCCAAGCTGTACAAATGGACGAGCTTCAATGTTCACACGTGTGAGACGTGTCAAAGGGTAAAACCCCTCTTCGAATGCGGCGGCGCCGCTGGCCAGTTTGTTGATGCCCTCGGGGTGTTAGCAATCCGTGAGTTTGGTCTTGGTGTTTGCCAACCCCCAAAAGGACTCGACGGACAGTACGGATGTCGTGGTTTTTGTCACCGTTTGAAAAAGATGTCTTATTTTGCGGCGTCAGCGGGACATGAAAATGAACGACCCCGTTCAAGCAGAGTGGCGTATAGCCAATAGATAGAAAACATTGTATTGTTTAAAGCAAGCTCTACAAGTGGCAGCATGCCGCTCCAGCGCCTTTGAGCCTCAGCGCAGACGGTCTCGAGGATGCGTGTCACGCGCTCATTTTGACTTTCGGTCTCCGGATCGTCCTCCGTTGACATATCCAGCTTGTTGCCCAGTACCTTGAAGATCGTCGAACAAATTTTACCAGCGAAGCGTGGGTCTCTATCAGAGAAATTTGACTCCGAGTGTCCATGCTGTCGAAAGGCACGATCCACACACAGCGTTGCAGTACCGACACCGTCGATGGTGTCCGGCAACGCCGCTTTCCATGATTCAGGGCTTGGTGGGGGTGGAATAGCCGATCAGCTAGCTGATGTCAGCCCTCTCACTGTTCGTAAAGATGTCGATGGCTTCCTGTCTCACGACACGTTCGCGATGCGATAGCTGAAAGCTAATACATGCAGAAGAAATATGCAGTAAAAGATGTAGAGAGAATGTTCAAAACTTTGAGGTCGGAGACTTGGATTTATTAAATGCTAGAGACCTTCCAACCCTTGCAATTTTTTGCTGTATTTAAGACTAAACTCAGTACACCGTTTATCGGACCTTTCGAGGTTGTGGCCGAGAGTGGCCTAGTGTATATGCTAAATCTTCCGAAACGGATGCGCACGAACTCGGTGTTTTATGTGGGCTTACTTAAGCCGTACTGTTTATTATCAAAAATGAATTAATTTTTAATTTTTTTTAAAGACATTTTTAATTTTTTTTATTGTAATTAAAATATAATATTTATAAA